TTAACATTTTTTCCCTTTGGTTTTATGCAAGATGATGATGACTTAAAATCTAAAAAAAAATGTCTGGACGAAAGTTATCAATCAGTCGTTAGTGACTTGGTTTTTAAAGATAAAGCAAAACTAATCGCCACGCGAAGATTGTTCAGGGCTATAACCATTGGTCACCAGATAAGTGAAAAATGGTTAGGCTTTTCTGGCGACCGCATGACCAGTCAGGCTATTGCTGACTGGCTTGAAAGTCTATCACACACTGATCAGGTGGCACTTGGCATATACAGTTGTACCATCGTTTCATTTTTCAGAATTGGTATTTGACTAAGCGTGACACCTTGGTTTGCAGGTGTGAAGATGGAGTGGGTGGTTCCTCTTGTGATATCCTCAGTGCGGCTGGTGGTAATCTTCATGCTTCTGGTAGCCAACGTAGCAGCTCTTGTGCGGATTTCTACCTATCCCAAGTATACGAGAGGTGAGGTGTTGTCCCAGGGACGGTGGGGGGAAGTGCCAGGGGAGGGGGCTGATGGTCGTATGAGATAAATGGGACCAGTCTGGCAAAGGGGAGAGGGGGCTGTGAGGTTCTCTGCAACCGAAAGATATAATTCATGTCTGCTTTAATTATTGTGTAAATATCTTAATCTTTTTTTTTTTTTTTTTTCAGGGTCTCGCGTGTACGAACTAATTTCCTTCAACACAATCCTCTGCCTTAATTTGATTTACCTGGTGGTCATTTGGACTCCCTTCACCCTTTTGGCCTTCAGACATGATTTGGTAAACCAACATAAAGACAATGTAGTGGATGATAACTTACAATTTAGTGGATTAACAGACGATGGAGAAGGCTTGCAAGAGTTTATAGTAGAGTACATTGATATACGTAATGACCAGGTAGTTGCGGAGGAAACTGAAGAGTTGCTTCGTGTGGCCAGGGCAACACAAGAAATGCAGAATGGTTTTAATGTTCTTCCTGGCTTAAACTCAGATTTGATTTTGAAGGCGATAAGCAATTACTCCTCACAGCCCTCCAAGGAGCCATCCTCGCAAGAAACTGCTGAACACTCCTATGGCAGATGGAATACAGATATACAAGACCTGGAGACTTCATCCTTTGCTTATAGTCTTGCACTTACTGGCATTTTCAGATTAATTGTTTCACGAAGGGTGAGTATTTTTCCGAATTTGTAACTTTAAAGGAAAGTTTTTGTGAAGTCCTATCTGTAGGACTAATGATTTATCTTTTTATTTTCAATAGGACAGGGGGAAGCCTAGCCTATTACCATGTTACTAGATTAATGCATTAATCTTTCTGCAGACACTATGGCGTCCCAGCCGCCCCTTGGGCCTTGCCTTGGGTCTAGCATTGGGTTCCTTAATATTAGTTATGCTGCCGGTCTTGACTACTGGACTCATCAGATACATTGGTAAAACTGCCCCCCACTTGGCTCTACATAAGCCTGAAGTGACTGAAGCTGGCTATACGATACGTAAGAATGTTAACTACATATTTTTGTGGGTTTGAAATTAACATCTAAATGCAGTATATAAATTTAAATAAAGCACTTTGGTATCCTGGTCATTATAAAGAGAATTTTTCTAAGCATGATCATGTTAGAAATTAGGCACTGTTATATTCTAGGTAATATTATTTGTGATGTCCACATTACGGAGGCATACGTGTTAAGTCTTTTCCTGGAGTGGGCAGCAGTGTGCACGTTGGCCATTACAGCATTGGTTCTAAGCTTTACCCTTGTGCCAGCCAAGAATAAGGAAGGCAGTGATGTACACATGGAAGGTTCCAGTGAGTGTTCAGCAATGCTTAATGTTTCAGACCAGTAGTTAGTTAATTTTAACCTTATCTGTAATAAATAGTACCTTGGTGTACTGCAGACAGTATCACAAGCAAGGTACAGTATATTGTGAACTTGACTAAGCTAATAAGTTTTATCAGATATATAAATAAATTTTTAACGAATCTATAGAAGAGTACTGTTTAAGGTAAGCGATGTGGTAATTGGGTAAACTTAAAAGCTAAAAAATTAGTGGTATGAAAGGTATAATATAAAGTGGATGAAAATTGGAGATTCTTATGGCTATCTAATAAGACTGGAAAATCTCGGGAAGGGTTGCAGGGATGTAAATGTTGTGACGCAGAGGCTCGTGCATTTATACCTCTTCAAGAGGGGGCTCCTTGGCGTGGTGAAGAGGCTCTTGGTCTGGGGAATTAGCCCTGTCGGTCTTCTTCCTCAGACCGAACCTAATTACCCCCCATTCTCCCCTCCCCTATCCCATCCTCCCCATCCTCCCCTTTTTCCATTCCTCCTCCTCCTCCTCACCCCTCCTTTTTGCCCTTCCTCTTTTTGGCCTTCGGGATTTCTCCCACAGGCGCGCTAGTTCCTAGGTAGGGGAAAGGACACCGGGGTCCCTCCCATTCCGTTGAGGTTCTTGGCGGTGGCATAGTTTGCCGTGGAATCTGGATTGCCTAGGGATGTCCCGATCCCTCTCCGGTATCCCGGAGTAGCTTTGGGTGTCTTTTGGGCGACGGGTGTATCTCTGGAAGCCACCTTTCAGATTCCGGGGGTGGTGGCCGAAGGAGGTATGCTTTGTGGCGGATATCCGGCCGCCCTCTCTTTTGTCCACCGAGGTAGCTCGGCAGATGTGAGGTTGCTATCCCGGATTGCTGGTTTACTGGCATGAAGGGTAGGGTATGGCACGGGTTCCATGCTGCATCTGCGCTACTAGCGGTGTTGAGGTCCTCTTGGGCGCGGAGGGAGATTTCCGGCCCTTTCATTCCTCCTGGGAACTATTCCTCCCTGCTCCCCCCTTTTTTTATTCTTTTTTTTTGTTATTTTATTTTCTTTCTTTTTTTTTTCTTAAAAACAAAAAGCAAAGGAGTAACCTAACCATGGCAGCCCTAGTCCATGAAACCACTACCCCCGGGCCCCCTTCTTGATTACCGCACCCCATTTCTGACCCTGCCTTGTGTTTAGACCACTCTTCGGACACTCCTGATGCCCCTGTACCTCTTGCTGGTGCAGTTTCCTCACCCGCTTCAGGTACCGGGGCTTCGACTGACTCCTTTGATTTGTCTGAACTCCGCTCTCCTTTGACTATGCTTCCGGCTTCTCCCTCTACGGTACGGCAATTTTCGAATCGCCCGCCCATTTCATGCCGGACCAACTCCGGTCCTACTCCTAAACGCCAACGTCAATCTCCTGATGATGCTCCTTCGTTACCTTCCCATTCTACTCGGAAAAAGACCGACACGTCAAGCACTCTTCTCCACGCTCAGTTTCGGACCACACAATGGACTAAATTCTTTACTTTAAGACCAACTTCTTCTGCCTACCTTTCTGACCATAGTATTGGCAAAGCGCTCCTGCGTCATGTTGGCAGAGATATTTCGTTTCACGCTCTCAAGAGCGGTACGCGCATCGTCACTGTCCAGAATGCTACCCAAGTCATGATCTTTCTCTCCTTTCGAATATCGATACTACTCCTATCCACTATTGAAAAACATCTTTCTCTCAATTCTTGTAGTGGTACTGTCATTCTGCCCCATACCACAGTCCAACAGAATTTCCAGTCATGTGGCAATGACATTTTTGAACAGCTGGAACTCCAGGATCTCCCAATCCTCAAAGTTAGACAACTTATGTCCTTCCGGCCCGGGGGCGGAGACGTTACCCTTCCCAAATGTGGCTCGTTTAATTTTTGGGACAGCCGAGAAACTCCCGTCCTCTGTATATGTCGGGGGAACATGGGTTTTTACAACCTCTTAAAGGGGGGGCTCCTTGGCGGGGTTTGAAGGGGGCTCGGGTCTGGGGAAAATTTAGCCCCTATCGGTTTTTCTTCTCGGGACCGAACCTAATTACCCCCTAATTTTCCCCTCCCCATCCCACCCTCCCTTTTTTTTTCCCTCCTCCTCCCCCCCACTCCCCCTTTTTTCCCCTTCCTTTTTTTTGCCCTTTTTGGATTTCTCCACAGGCGGGGCTTTTCCCTGGGTAGGGGGAAAGGGATCCCGGGGGTCCATCCCATTCCGTTGAGGTTTTTAAGGGTGGCTTTGGTTTGCCGGGGGAATCTGGATCGCCTGGGGTTTGTCCCGATCCCTCCCCGGTATCCCGGAGTAGCTTTGGGTGTCTTTGGGGGAAACGGGGTGTATCTCTGGAAGCCCCCTTTGGGAAAATTCCCGGGGGGGGGTGGCCGAAGGAGGTTGTTTGTGGCGGATATCCGGCCCCCCCTCTTTTTTGGGGCCCACCGGGGTTAGCTCGGCAGATGTGGGGGTTGGGCTATCCCGGTTTGGTTATTTTACAAACCCCATGAGGGGTTTGGGGTTTGGGCCCGGGGGCCCCATGTTTGCATCGGCCCCTATTTGGCGGGGTGAGGTCCTTTTGGGGCGCGGGGGGGAGATTTCTGGCCCTTTTTTTCCTCCTAGGAACTATCCCCCCGGCCCCCCCTTTTTTTTCTTTTTTTTTTTTTTTTTTTTCCTTTCTTTTTTTTTCTTAAAAAAAAAAAAAAGAAACCTTTAACCATGGCCCCCTAGCCCTTTAAACCTGGTCCCCCCCGGGCCCCTTCTTGTTTTACCGCCCCCGGGTTCTGCCCCCGCCGTCTTTGGACCACTTTTTCCCGGGACTTCCCTCATCCCTCGGTACCTTTTGCGGTGCTTTTTTCCTCACCCTTCAGGTACTGGGGCCTCGACTGCCCCCTTCGTTTTAATCAAAAACCTTTCGCTTCCCTTGACTATGTTTCCCGGCCTCCCCCTTACGGTGGGGAAAATTTTCAAATCGCCAAACCCGTTCCCGTCGGCCAAACTCTGGCCCCCACCCCTTAAACGCAAGAAAATTCCCGGTTTGAGGGAACTTCTCCCCCTTCCCTTCTCGTTCTTCTCAAAAACGATCGCCCCGGGCCCTTTTCACTACCTTTCCACGCTCAGTTTCAGATTTAAACAGTGGACAAATTTTTTCCCTTTTTACGACCAACCCCCCTTCTAATCCCTTCCCCTTTTGAATAGATTGGAAAGGGCACTCCTACGCCATTTTGGTAAAAGATATTTCTTTTCATGCTCTTAAAAAAACGGTACGCGCATCTTCCCGGGTACAGAATGCTACCCGGCTCGTGAGCTTCTCGTTTTTCCCATATAGTTACTGTTCCTGTCCCCCTTTGAAAAACATTTTCCCCCCAAATTTTTGTGTGGGAAACCGTCATTCGGGCCCTTTACCATAGTTCAAAAAAAATTTTCCAGAATGTGGCAGGGGACATTCTGGGAACAGCGGGGGAACCCCAAAAGATCCCCAATCCTAAAGGTAGCACTTACGTTTTCCTCCCCGTGGGGGGGGTGACAAATCCCCTTTGAAATGTGGTTTTTTTAAACTTTTGACACCCGAGAAATTTCCCATCCTCGGGTTTATATAGCGGGACATCGGTTACAATTTAAAAAGGTGATCCCTACACCACAAACAGTTTTAAAAAGGGCTGGCGTTTTTGGCCCCATCCCGGGCAAAAATTTCCCAAAATCTATCCCCGGGAATCCCCCAGTCTGTGGTGCGATAAACCATTTAAAACGTCTTGAAAATCGATCTCCCTTTTGGCCTTTAAGGGGGCATGAGGTCCCCTTTCCGTACTCTCCCCGTTGTCAGGTCTTTTTAAAACGAGCGGGAAATCCTTTTCCCTAAAAGGAAAAGGGAAGGTTCCCTTATGAAATTGGCATTTTTCTATCTCCGCCTCCAAGGGAGACTCCCCACGTGTTTCTTTTTTCCCGTTTTTTCAAAAGGGCCCCCCATTTTCCTGGTATCCCATTTTACACCCACCTTTGTGGTTACCTCTCCCATAATCACCCCTGTATCTAACCTTTTGTTTTCCTCGGCTCAGACCCCCTACTTCAACCCCCTTTCCCATTTAAATTCTTGGGGGCTTTTCGATTTCTCTCTTCAACCCTCAGAAATCGCCCGAAAAACCTCGTACGACTTTTTTCCCCAATCGTCCCTCTACTTCTAAAAAGTAAAAAAAAGGGTTGGGGGTAACACCCCCCTACCCATTTTCACCTCCTTTTTTTACCCCCCCCTGTTCTCTGCCCCCTGGGCTTCCCCTCTCACGGGCCCTTCGTTAAAAAGGGCGGGGGTTCACCCCCCCTCCTGTTTGTACCCCCCCCTGTTCCCTCCCAATTTCTTCCTCTTTTTCCCACCCCCAGGTTCCTTTTCTCTTCTTTTCCCCTGCCACGCTTCTCCAGTTCCCCCAACCTTTCGCCCCCCCCCTACCTTGGACAGCCCAAATTTCATTTTCCAATTTTTTCTATCCTCCCCCTTCCCTTTCCCAAAATATTGTTCCCATACGACATTCTGAATTCCGAAACACTTGAAGAAAATCTCTAAATATTTTGGGCGGGAGCCCAAAAACCATCAAGGGGACACTAAATCCACCTTCCGCTTTTCTCTTCCTTGCTCCATCTGCGCAACCCCTTTTTCTTCACAGCGCACCGTTCCTTCGTTTGTTAAACCTTTTTCCCACTGCCTCCGCATGTGGCTTTTCAAACCCCTTTAGCCCGTGGGAAAACCCTTATTTGCGGATTTAAAGTATCTTTATCATTGCCAATCAGGGCCTTTTTACAGTGGAATATACGGGGCCCCTCGGGGGTAATCGGGGGGGGTTTTGGTTTTACTCCCCCATTTTTGCCCCTGTTGGTTTTTGGGTTTTAAAAAACCCCAAAAATTTTCCACTTGCTTTTTATTTCTCACTCTCGGCCCTATAATTTATTGTATTTTTCCCAGACCTTTTCCCTGAGGGGCCCTTTTAATGAAAGTCCCC